TTGAAAAAGTAACTTTTTTCTCTTTTGTCTTTAAAAAATTTTTTATTATGACAAAAGTAATACATGTTTTAAATTCATCCTGGAATAAGGAAAGGTGATGGGGTTCCTAAAGTTTTAAAGCAAGGAGATAGGTTTTAAGCAAAGGGAATAAATTATATAAAGGAACTAACTCATAAAGTGTAAAAAATTCAAAGAAATGTCACTTGTGTTGAGAGGCTGGAACATTGGGCACATATAGAAAATAGCAAATGAGGTTAGAAAATTAATCAGGGCCCAGATCATTAAAGGCCTTGCTTTCTTGCCAAGACATCAACATTTTTTTCTTAAAGCAGAGAGCTTTCTGCAAAGCTATTTAAGCAAAGGAGAGTTACTTTAATGGGTACATTTGGAAGAGACTTTAGTAATCTACCAAGGAAAAGCATGGTCAGTGATTAGCTATAGAATGAGACACAATGTGGTGAACATAGTGCGTCAGGGGTATGCCAAGGGAAGAGGAGCCTGAGCAGGAGAGTGAGGAGAATTTAATAAGAGGTTCAAAAGATTTCTTGATCTAGAACACCGGGGTTCAAAATGATTCAATGAGTTTAATTGATCCAATATTATTTTTTAATTAAATCACATAATGGCAGAGAGCACACTTGCTCTAGATAATTTTATCGATAATTGTGTCTTATTTGAGGATATACTATATCCAGAATAAAAATGATACGGACTAACATTATAAAAGAACACCTTTAGTTTCTAATAATGTAAAATTAAATATGCTGTCTATTCAGATTGAACTTGTCCCTAAGCAGCTCTAAGCACATTAAGTATGAAAGCAAGGCCATGTTTTCAGTAAGACAGAGAGAGGCAAACAACAAGCAATGTCATTTCGTATCTGGCCCTGCCGGTTTGTATTTTCACGTCAATCTGATGTTCTATTACTTCCCCACTGATCTCTCATTTTTAGTTGCAAGTGAGTTAATGGTAGTTTTCTCCTAAACATGCCATATTGTTCTTGTCATGACCAGCCCCATTCTATCTGTTAAGTTTCTGATCCTCCTTGAAAACTCGACTGAAATACCCAAGTCTCTGTCAAGGCCATTCTAATGTCTCAAGACATTTCTACTTTATCTATAATGTACATACTTTTGCACATAATTAACATGCATCTTCTTCTTAGATACCCTGTTAACTTCTTTAGGACTAAAACTGTATCTTCTTATTCATCTTGAGATGTGTCCTCAGCATATAGATTAGTATTAGGCATATAAGTAGGTACCTTAGTTGTGGTTCCAAACATAAAAACCATAGCTACTGTGGGGATAAAACCTTGGCTTTGCTGTTAATTGCCCTATAAAGCATGGTAAATGACCAATCATCAGCTTGGCTTTCTTAATGCTGTTAATCAGACCTTTTTTGAAAATATTAACATTTGTGGTTGTCATCTTCCCTTTCACCTGCCCAAGGTTCTATGAGTGCCATCTTGTCTATTCAGTTGTCTTACACCTTCTCTAAAAGAGTGGTCTACACAACACTGACCTCTATTGAAGAAATTTGCTTTTGCTCTGTTGATTTTTTTTTAACCTTTTCAGTGTGCTGTTAAAAGCTCTAAACATTAGTTTTAGCCTTCTCCTTTGTCTCTATATTTAAAAAAAAAATCACAGAATATGGTTGGTGTGCTATATCTCAAAGAAATGCTTTCAAAACAAAACAGCAAAAGAATCTTTAGTAAAGACATCTAATGTGATATATGCACTCTTTCGTAAGTAAGTTATAGCATGTAAGATATTTGTTTTTTCAAGCTAAGAAACAAAAAATTAAGAGCTGCCTAATTTAGAACATAAATTACTCCACTGAACATGTGTGCTGGCTGTACATGTGCACATTTTCCAGTGATTTTTTTTTTCATTATTTGATGCTTTGGATAAACCAAAAATGCTAGTGTTTTAACCTGATTTCCCCTGATTTAAAAATTGTCTCCTTTGACCATGGGCATGATGGCTCATGCTTGTAATCTGAGCACTTTGGGAGACTGATGCAGGTGGATTATGAGGTCAAGAGATCAAGACCATCCTGGCCAACATAGTGAAACTCTGTCTCTACTAAAAATACAAAAATTAGCTGGATGTGGTGGCGTGAACCTGTAGTTCCAGCTACTTGGGAGGCTGAGGCAGGAGAATTTCTTGAACCCAGGAGGTGGAGGTTGCAGTGAGCCGAGATTGTGCCATTGCACTCCAGCCTGGCAACAGAGCGAGACTCCATCTCAAAAACAACAACAACAACAAAATTGGCTCCTTTACTCCTCTACTTTCTTTTCTGGCAATGCAAACCACACTGAAGTTCTCTGATCCAGTACCTCCTAACTGGAATTAGACAAAGAAAAAACTCATTTGCAGAATAATTGCATTGCAGAACAAATGACATCATTGGTAGTAAAACATTCTACACTTAGATTTTGTTTTTCCGTGACACTAGAGATCCATCATTTTTAGTCAAGCTAAAAATAGATTGTAATTTTATGCTTGTAAATAATGTCTCAGGCACAAGGATACTGGACAAAAATAGAAAGTGGGATTTGATTTTTAAATTAACACTCTACCCCAAAATACCCCTTCTTAACCTTGTTGAATATATTTGATATCCTGCTCATATTTCCTGGAGCTTCATAATATTTATAAAACTGGAAGGAGGAAAGAGAATGCTTTATTAGAGGCTGTTTTTCCGTAAAGCATCTGAGCACCTTGCTGCTGTATTTTTAGTTCAATCTCCGTGAATATTATGTGCAGCGTATGGTCTCTCAACTTAAACACAACCCTGAAAAGTACTTCTTTGCCTTTGCCTTCAACCTTCATTTCAACATCTGTTTTTTTGTATGTAAAGACGCAGTATTAGCAAGAAAAACAGATCTCCATCAGCATTTCCTTCTGAAACAGACCTAAGGAAGTTAGGTAATTCTAAATTTCTAATAAAAATATGGCATAGAACTTGATATTAGCTATTTCATTTAATAAATTTTTTCTTATCTCCTTATTCTTAATAAAAGCATTATTCCTTTTGACTTTTTTTAATGAAAATTCTTTGGCTAGGAACCGTTAAGGAATCTACAAAAAGAGCAAAGACAGAAATGCTGGTGCTCATTCCTTACTTCTTGGTGGCTTCATTTAATAGCAGCATTTTTGACTCTAGGTCTCCTAAGAGCCTCAAAGTACTTTTCTTTTTGCCTTCTGACACCTCCTTTCCTCCCCTCTTCTTGTTCTTATTCTTTCTCCTGCAAATTAAAACTGCAATGCCATAAAATCAGCCATATTTGGATGAATAGAAGGATGGATAGAAGTATGATAAATCAAGAATAGTAAGTTGTTAATGGTAGAATCTAGATGGAGGGTATAAAGGCATTGACTGTAAGTTTCTTTCAGTTTTGCTAGATGCTCGAAAGTTGTCATAGTAAGATCTCTTAAAAATGGTTACCCAGGAAGGGTGGGATGATAGCTTTTACTTATTCTGTGTTTAAATATTGTACACTTAGAGAAAAAAATGAAGATAATTCTTTTAAAAGCTACATGAATCTGTCTTTACAAATGAAGTCATCAGACTGTTGACTTAAATATTCTTCATAATTGAAATTTACATTAATACATGCTAAATAATTAAGGATGTGATGAAAGAATCAGCTGTGTATGATGCTCACATCATTACAATAGGAAATTGGGTACTTCAATTATAGCATCTATATAGTGAATGGAATACTATGCAGCCATTAAAATATATAGATAGAAACAAATGCATTGACATGGAAAGATATTTATAATTTTCATATTTTATAATATATTTTATATTTTATACTTAGCTAGAACACATAAAATTTATGAATAGAACTGAAAGTAACTATGCATACATATATATAAAATGTTACCTCTGAATTAGGATGTTACGAATTTTTTCTCCTATATTTTTTATTCACATTTAAAAATTTTTCTTAAAATAATATTTTGCCATGCTTTTTATGTAACTTAGTAACATAAGAAAGAGGGAAAACAGAAAAAGAAAAAGGTCATGTCATTTTTCTGTGAAAAAGAAGCAAGGAAATCTTAGTATGTTTAATTTTTTATCAACCCAAAAATATTATCTGAATTTTTTCCCTTTAATCTATATCATGGAAATCTGCTCTCTTACATTTTCTTAATTTTTCTTTTATAAAGAATGTACTTGAAATATGTAAAAACAAATAATTTCATTCATTCTTCTGAAGATATGTTCATGGACTTGACTAGCAGTTTTGAAAGGAAAGTTAAGATGTTTTTTATGTTGTGGGGCCCCAGGCATTTCATACTTGGAAATGGCTTATCTTTAATCTCTAGTTGTATTATATTTCTATTTCTGACTCACAAGGAAAGAAAGCTTCAAAGCAGAAAACAGAAAATCCAGTTTCTCTCTAAATACAATAACCATTGATATATTCCAGACAATGTAACACCTATGTTTCAAGGTTCCCCAGTGTCCTACCCAGAAGAATCAAGAGTTCAAGGATGTGTCAATTAAGCAATAAAAATATTTTTACTTATTATGGATCTCTATAAGGAGATGTAAGCAATGTGTTGAAATTAGGTACTTTTTACAATATGTCTCTGAAAAACGATAAAGGGAGAAGACAATTACTGTTATTTTTTCCATTCTGCCAACATTTGTTGGACACTTGGTTAAGGACCATAGACTTAATGTTTCAGTTATTGTTTCTACTCTTTAAAAGACAGATTTTTCCCCCTAGATTTTCTTTCAATGGCTATTGAAAGAAATTTTGGATAGAAATAAAAGTCAAACAAGCAAAAATAAACATCTCATGTTCTAGTCCTCTAACAGTCTGTTATATGGAATTCGTCATTTATTCTTTTATATGTATATATGTGTGTGTTTGCTCCTCTCTCTCCTCCTCCTCTATGCTGGTAGTCTATTTTAAGTGTGTCTTCTTGTTCCCTCAAAATATCTAATGTTTTGTATTCGTCTCATGTCTTTCTCAGGTAAAATGTCCGGTGATCGAGCTTTGAGGAAGCAGCAGCAGTTGAACAACCTTGTCTATGTGGTAACAAATCAGGCCAAACCTGGTGACAGAATTGTGGATTTCTGCAGTGGTGGGGTATTACATCTCTCCTTTTATCCTTTTTAGCCTTTCAAAGATTATATGACTTTTCTATATTACATTCAAGGTCATGTTTTTATTTGGCAAGATTGTGGTTTCAGAATGAGGAAAAGCTGTGGGGACCAAGGCTAACTTGTTTGTCTAACTGACTTTTTCAGGGCCATGTTGGAATTGTCCTTGCTCACATGCTGCCATCATGTCAGGTAAAGCCTGAATAAGAGATAAAAGGAAATATTTAAAAACTGTACAGAGTAGCTAGCCAAATTTGATTTATCCCTGCTCTTGGAGTTTCTTGTCATTCAACTAAGTCAAATTTGTGGCACAGGCATTTTCTTTTCTTTGAAGTGAACTTTCTTAAGGAGAAAAACATAAAGTAAGATCACAAAAGAGTTATCAATTTTTAAAAGAGGTTTATATGTTTAAGAAATTTTTCAAAGAAATAGCTATTTTATTGCTAAATAAAATGATTCAACTAGTTTAATTTTCAATATAATTTTACTTTATTTTATTTTTCTTTATTGCATTTTAGGTTTTTGGGGTACATGTGAAGAACATGCAAGATAGTTGCATAGGTACACACGTGGCAGTGTGTTTTGCTGCCTTCCTCCCCTTCACCTATATCCAGCATTTCTCCACATGCTATCTCTCCCCAACTCCCCACTCCCCGCTGTCCCATCTCTATTCCCCCAAACAGACCCCAGTGTGTAGTGCTCCCCTCCATGTGTCCATGTGTTCTCATTGTTCATCACCCGCCTATGAGTGAGAACACGTGGTATTTCATTTTATGTTCTTGGGTCAGTTTGCTGAGAATGATGGTCTCCAGATTCATCCATGTTCCTACAAAGGACACGAACTCATCATTTTTGATGGCTACATAATATTCCATGGTGTATATACGCCACATTTTCCCTGTCCAGTCTATCATCGATGGGCATTTGGGTTGCTTCCAGGTCTTTGCTGTTGTAAACAGTTCTGCAGTGAACATTCGTGTGCATATGTCCTTATAGTAGAATGACTTATAATCCTCTGGATATATACCCAGTAATGGGATTGCTGGGTCAAATGGAATTTCTATTTCTAGGTCCTTGAGGAATCGCCACACTATCTTCCACAATGGTTAAACTAATTTACACTCCCACCAGCCGTGCAAAACTGTTCCTATTTCTCCACATCCTCTCAAGCATCTGTTGTCTCCAGATTTCTTAATGATTGCCATTCTAACTGGCGTGAGATGGTATCTCAATGTAGTTTTGATTTGCATTTCTTTAATGACTGGTGATAATGAGCATTTTTTCATATGTTTATTGGCCTCATGTATGTCTTCTTTCGTAAAGTGTCTGTTCATATCCTTTGCCCACTTTTGATTGGGCTTGTTTTTTTCTTGTAAATCTGTTTGAGTTCTTTGTAAATTCTGGATATCAGCCCTTTGTCAGATGGGTAAACTGCGAAAATGTTTTCCCATTCTGTTGGTTGCCGACTCACTCTAATGACTGTTTCTTTTGCTGTGCAGAAGCTGTGGAGTTTGATTAGGTCCCATTTGTCTATTTTGACTTTTGCTGCCAATGCTTTTGGTGTTTTGGTCATGAAGCCCTTGCTTACTCCTATGTCCTGAATGGTTTTGCCTAGATTTTCTTCTAGGGTTTTTATTATGTTAGGTCTTATGTTTAAGTGTTTAATCCATCTGGAGTTAATTTTAGTGTAAGGTGTCAGGAAGGGGTCCGTCCAGTTTCTGCTTTCTGCACATGGCTAGCCAGTTTTCCCAACACCATTTATTAAACAGGGAATCCTTTCCCCATTGCTTGTTTTTGTCAGGTTTGTCAAAGATCAGATGGTTGTAGATATGTTGTGTTGCCTCCGATGCCTCTGTTCTGTTCCATTGGTCTATACCTCTGTTTTGGTACCAGTACCATGCTGTTTTGATTACTGTAGCCTTGTAGTATAGTTTGAAGTCTGGTAGTGTGATGCCTCCCGCTGTGTTCTTTTTGGTTAGAATTGACTTGGCTATGCAGGCTCTCTTTTGGTTCCATATATAGTTTAAGATGGTTTTTTCCAGTGCTGTGAAGAAGGTCATTGGTAGTTTGATGGGGATAGCATTGAATCTGTAAATTACTCTGGGCACTGTGGCCATTTTCATGATATTGATTCTTTTTAACCATGAACATGGAATGTTTCTCCATCTGTTTGTGTCCTCTCTTATTTTGTTGAGCAGCGGTTTGTAGTTCTCCTTGAAGAGGTCCTTTACATTCCTTGTTAGTTGTATTCGTAGGTATTTTATTCTTTGTAGCAATTGTGAATGGCAGTTTGTTCTTGATTTGGCTCTCTTTAAGTCTGTCATTGGTGTATAGGAATGCTTGTGATTTTTGCACATTGATTTTGTATCCTGAGACTTTGCTGAAGTTGCTTATCAGTTTCAGGAGATTTTGGTCCGAGACGATGGGATCTTCTAGATATAAAATCATGTGGTCTGCAAATAGAGACATATTTGACTTCCTCCTTTCCTATTTGAATACCCTTTATTTCTTTTTCTTGCCTGATTGCTCTGGCTAGAACTTCCAGTACTATATTGAATAGGAGCGGTGAGAGAGGGCATCCTTGGCTAGTGCCAGATTTCAAAGGGAATGCTTCCAGTTTTTGCCCATTCAGTATGATATTGGCTGTTGGTTTGTCATAAATAGCTTTTATTATTTTGAGATACGTTCCATCAATACTGAGTTTATTGAGGGTTTTTAGCATAAACGGCTGTTGAATTTGGCAACGGCTTTCTCTGCATCAATTGAGATAATCATGTGGCTTTTGTCTTTGGTTCGGTTTATGTGGTGAATTATGCTTATAGACTTGCATGTGTTGAACCAGCCTTGCATACCCAGGATGAATCCTACTTGATCATGGTGGGTAAGTTTTTGATGTGCTGTTGCAGTCAGCTTGCCAGTATTTTATAGAAGATTTTTGCGTCTATGTTCATCATGGGTATTGGCCTCAAGTTTACTTTTCTTGTTGAGTCTCTGCCGGGTTTTGGTATCAAGATGACGTTAGTCTCATAAGATGATTTGGGATGGATTCCCTCTTTTTGGATTATTAGGAATCGTTTCAGAAGGAATGGTACCAGCTCCTCTTTGTGTGTCTGGAAGAATTTGGCTGTAAACCCATCTGGACCTGGGCTTTTTTTCTGTGGTAGGCTCTTACTTGCTGCCTCAACTTCAGATCTTGTTGTTGGTCTGTTCAGGGTTTTGGCTTCTTCCTGGTTTAGTACTGGGAAGAGGCAAGTGTCCAGGAATTTATCCATTTCTTCCAGGTTTACTAGTTTCTGTGCATAGAGTTGTTTGTAATAACCTCTCATGATGGTTTGCATTTCTGTGGAATCTGTGGTGATATCCTCTTTATCATTTTTTATTGCATCTATTTCGTTATTCTGTCTTTTCTGGTAATGGTCTGTCTATTTTGTTGATCTTTTCGAAAAACCAGCTCCTGGACTTATTGATTTTTTGAAGGGTTTTTTGTGTCTCTACCTCCTTCAGTTCTGCTCTGATCTTAGTTATTTCTTATCTTCTGCTAGGTTTTGAGTTTTTTTTATCTTGATCCTCTAGCTCTTTCAATTTTGGATCTCTCCTTGCTTCTTGTGTGGGCACTTATTGCTATATATTTTCCTCTAGAGACTGCTTTAAATGTGTCCCAGAGATTCTGGTATGTTGTGTCTTTGTTCTCGTTGGTTTCGAAGAATATGTTTATTTCTGCCTTTGTTCCAGTCCACATTCAAGAGCCAGCTGTTCAGTTTTCATGAAGCTGTGCGGTTCTGAGTTAGTTTCTGAATTCTGAGTTCTAACTTGATTACACTGTGGTCTGAGAGACTGTTTGTTATGATTTCCATTCTTTTGCATTTGCTGAGGAGTGATTTACTTCCAATTATGTGGTTAATTTTAGAGTAGGTGTGATGTGGTGCTAAGAAGAATGTATATTCTGTGGATTTGAGATGGAGAGTTCTGTAAATGTCTATTAGGTTTGTTTGTTCCAGGTCTGAGTACACGTCCTGGATATTCTTGTTAATTTTCTGTCTGTTTGATCTGTCTAATATTGACAATGGGGTGTTAAAGTTTCCCACTATTATTGTATGGGAGTCTAAGTCTCTTTGTAAGTCATTAAGAACTTGCCTTATGTATCTGGGTTCTCCTGTGTGAGGTGCGTATATATTTAGAATTGTTAGCTCCTCTTGCATCGATCTTTTTCCCATTACTTAATGTCCTTCTTTTTCTCTTTTGATCTTTGTTGATTTAAAGTCTATTTTATCAGAGACAAGAATTTTAACTCCTGCTTTTTTTTTTTTTTTTTGCTCTCCATTTGCTTGGTAAATCTTCCTCCATCCCTTTATTTTGAGCCTTTGTGTATCCTTCCATGTGAGATGCGTTTCCTGGATACAGCACACCGATGGGTTTTGGTTTTTTATCCAATTTGCCAGTCTGTGTCTTTTGATTGGGGCATTTAGTCCATTTACATTTAGGATTAATATTGTTATGTGTGAATTTAATACTGCCATTTTGATGCTAGCTGGCTGTTTTGCCCATTAGTTGATGCAGATTCTTCATTTTGTTGATGCTCTTTAGCATTTGGTATGTTTTTGGAATGGTTGGTACTGGTTGTTTTTTTCTATGTGTAATGTCTCTTTCGGGAGCTCTTGTAAAGCAGGCCTGGTGGTGACAAAATCTCTGAATACTTGCTTGTTTGCAAAGGATTTTATTTCTTTATCACTTATGAAGCTCAGTTTGGCTGGATATGAAATTCTGGGTGGGAAGTTCTTTTCTTTAAGGATGTTGAATATCGGCCCCCACTCTCTTCAGGCTTGTAGGGTTTCTGCTGAGAGATATGCTGTAAGTCTGATGGGCTTCCCTTTGTGGGTAACCCGACCTTTCTCTCTGGCTGCCCTTAGCATATTCTCCTTCATTTCAACCCTGGTGAATCTGATGAATATGTGCCTTTGGGTTGCTCTTCTTGAGAAATATCTTTGTGGTGTTCTCTGTATTTCCTGGACTTGAATATTGGCCTGCCTTGCTAGGTTGGGGAAGTTTTCCTAGATAATATCCTGAAGAGTGTTTTCCAGCTTGGATTCATTCTCTTTATCACATTCAGGTACACCTATCAAACTTGGATTAGGTCTTTTCACATGGTCCCATATTTCTTGGAGACTTTGTTCATTCCTTTTTACACTATTTTTTTTTAATCTCGCTTTCTCATTTTTTTTCATTGAATTGATCCTTGACCTCTGATATCCTTTTTCTGCTTGGTCAATTCGGCTGTTGAAACTTGTGCATGCTTCACGAAGTTCTCGTGTTGTGTTTTTCAGCTCCATCAATTCACTTATATTTCTAAGTTGTCCATTCTCATTAGTATTTTGTCAAATCTTTTTTCAAGATTCTAAGTTTCTTTGCATTGGGTTCGAACATGTTCTTTTAATCCACAGAAGTTTCTCATTACCCACCTTCTGAAGTCTGATTCTGTCATTTCATCAGATTCATTCTCTAGCCAGCTTTGTTCCCTTGCTGCTGAGGAGTTGTGATCCCTTGTAGGAGGAGAGGTGTTCTGGTTTTGGGTGTTTTCCTGCTTTTTGCACTGGTTTCTTCCCACCTTTTTGGATTTATCCACCTGTCATCTTTGCAGTTGCTGATTTTCAGATTGAGTCTCTAAGTGGACAATGATGAAGTTATTTCTCTTTCTTATTTTTTCTTCTAACAGTCTGGCCCCTCTGCTGAGGTCCACTCCAGGCCCTGCTTGCCTGGGGGTCACCTGCAGCAGCTGCAGAACAGTAAGCGTTGCTACCAGTTTCTTCTTCTGCTGTCTTTATCCCAGAATGATGCCCACCAAATGTCAGTCTGATCAGTCCTTTGTGAGGTGACTCTTTGGATATACGGGGGTCAGGGAGCTGCTTAAGAAGATAGTCTATTTTTTATAGGAGCTCAAATGCTGAGCTGTGAGCTCCATTGTTCGGAGCTGCTGGGCAGATACGTTTAAGTCTACTGCAGCAGAACTCATAAACCCCCCTTTTTTTTTTCCAGGCGCTCTGTCCCAGGGAGTTAGGATTTTATTTATGGGTTTCCCTTCTGCTTCCTTTTTTTTCAGGGCTGCCGTGCCCAGCAAGGAGGCAGCCTAGTCACTGTCTGCCTGCAGAGGCTTTGCTGAGCTGCTGTGGGCTCCGCCTACTGCCACATGAACTTCCCTGCAGTCCTGTTCATATGGGTGTGGTTAGAACTGCCTCAGCAATGGTGGCCCACCTCTGTAATGGCAGACTCTCTCTGTAGTGGCAGGTTGCCTTGGCAACAGTGGGCTTCCTCAGCAATGGCGGACTACCTCCATAGGGGTAGAGTGGCTCGGTAATGGCAGACACCCCTCCCCCACAGAGCTGGAACGTCCCGGGTTCAGCTGTGCTTTCCATGAAACCCTCATCCCAGGGCGTTTCCAATTGCTGTTTTTTTTTTGTTTGTTTGTTTTTTGTGGATGTGGGGGTGTGACCCACCAAGCCTGATCACCTGGCTCCCTGCCTCAGAGTCTTTTTTTTTTTTTTAAGTTGAATGGTTGACTCTCTCCCAGATGTTCCAGTCGCCTGTTGAAAAGGCACCGGGATCTGTGTGATTTCCCATGCTGCCACCCACTGCACTGGCTGAAACAACGGCACTGCCTGGGAATCTCCTGGCCTGGCTCCCTGTTTGTGTCCCGTTTAATCAGATTAGTGGGCGACTCTGCCTTCCCAGAGCTCCAATTGCCGGCTTAAAAGGGCAATGGAATCTCCTGGCCTGGCTCCCTGTTTCTGTCCCATTTAATCAGATTAGTGGGCAACTCTGCCTTCCCAGAGCTCCAATTGCCAGCTTAAAAGGACAACCAGACCACTGTATTTTGTATGGAGAACCACCGTGTTGGGGCACCAGCAAAATAGCTGTTCTGGCAACCCATGGGGCTCCTCTGCCCGGGGATCTCCTGGTCTGTGGGCAATAAATATTTATCTGGAAATGTGGTGTCCATTCACCCTCTGCACTTTCACTGGTAGCTGCAATCCTGAGCTGCTCCTAAACCGCCATCTTGGATCCTGTCTCAATTTTCAGTATAATTTTAAATGGAAATACTGGCCTCTGAAATTTGCTCAGCATGTTCTTTTAGTATCTTGATTTTGATCCATTGCATCAAAATTATAAGAATAGCAAAATTTTTTTAAAGGAAAACAAAACTGATCATCAAATGCTTTGCTTTTCTTGTTCTCATTAAGTCATTGTCCATATGGATGCTTATTGTTGCAAATTTTTAAAATGCAAACACAATTTGTCCCTTGCTTTCACTCAATATTTTATCATAAATGTTTTTCCCTGTTGCTGATAGTTTTACATGTCATCATATTGCAGAGGTGACCAAACGTATTTTTAAGTAAATATGTCATAGTTTATTCAATCAGTGCCACAATTTGTTAGAATTTGTGCTGATTTTAGTCTTCTGCTATGTTAAACCAGTTTCTCACAGTGACCATTTTTTAGCAAAAAAGTCTGGTTTTTTTGTTTTGTTTTTAATACAAACTCAACTGCAACAGAGTCTTTGCTAGTGAGCCCTCTGGAAGTTGTGAACTAATTGTAGTGAATACTTCTGGAAGAAAAAAATGTGAAATAACTAATAGACTAGCAGAATAACATGTAACAGAATGATGGTGGGGAGATGGGGAACAGCATTCTTTTCTTTTTAGAGAAAAAAAAAGACACGAAAATATAAGGAATCCTGGGAGAAGAGGCAGGTGTTTGTTTTATTATTAAGGAAAGCAACAATTTCGTGATTGAGTAGGAGTAAGAGAGCTCAGAGTAAAATTTTGAAGAAGCAGAGTCAGGGATGTGTAGTATCCTTTCTTCTCTTTAATAGTTCTGGAAGCTTAGAAAGGTTGAAACCAAAAATGAGTAATCTTGTCTGGAATAAAGGCTAGAAAGCCTTTGTCACCCAGTATATACTAACAGGTTTTTTAAACAGATTTTTTTTCTTACAGACAAATATAAGGACAAAATAAGAACTAAGAATGATAGTGATGAAAGTGACTTAATTCTTTACATTTTTCTCCATTCAGACTATCTTCTCTGCCTAGATTATTACTGGAGTCTTCTAACTGGCTTCTCTGCCATCTGGCCTTGCTTCCGCCAATCCATGCCATAAATTATAGACTACTAAAACTTCTTTTATCATAAATGCATCATCTGGTTCCTGTTTACCTCTCCAGCCTCATTTTCTTTTCTTTTTTTTTTTGAGATGGAGTTTCACTCTTGTTACCCAGGCTGGAGTGCAATGGCATGATCTCGGCTCACCGCAACCTCCGCCTCCTGGGTTCAGGCAATTCTCCTGCCTCAGCCTCCCAAGTAGCTGGGATTACAGGCATGCGCCACCATGCCCAGCTAATTTTCTGTATTCTTAGCAGAGATGGGGTTTCACCATGTTGACCAGGATGGTCTCGATCTCTTGACCTCATGATCAAGCCTCCCAAAGCACTGGAACTACAGGCGTGAGCCACCACGCCCGGCCCTCCAGCCTCATTTTCATCCTTCACACCATGTCCCATCACCACTATCATCAAAATTGTGTACCAGTTCTCTCAGTTCTTCAAACACGCCATACTTTTTCTCATCTTGAGCCTTCATGTGTGTTTCTCTGCCTGAAAGACTCTTCCATTCCCTCAGCTGATTTGAATTCATTTTTTAGGACTCAGTTAATATGTTACTTACCCATGAAAACCTTCCTCAGTCATTAAGTTTGAGTGCTTTCATTAACATTGTTTGTCTTTAACACTTATCACACTATATTATTATTATTTTTTGATGTTTTGTTTTTGTTTGTTTGTTTGTTTGGTTGGTTGGTTGGTTGTTCGGTATTGAAATGGATTCTTTCTGCAATACCCAGACTGAAGTGCAGTGGTGCAGTCTCATCTAACTGTAACCTCTGCTTCCTGGATTCAAGTGATTCTCCTGCCTCAGCCTCAATAGCTGGGACTACAGGCACACACCACTAAGCCTGGCTAATTTTTTTATTTTTAGTAGAGATGGGGTTTTACCATATTGGCCAGGCTGGTATCAAATTCCTGACCTCAAGTGATCCGCCTGCCCTGGCCTCCCAAAATGCAGGGATTACAGGCGTGAAACACTGCACCCAGCCCTCCTGTATTATTATTGTATGTTTTACTTACATCACTATGATATAGGAGTACTTCAAAGACATTTCATTTTTCCTTTTTGTACTAGATTATATGATACACTTCCTGCCACAGGATAGAGGCTCAATATCATACATTCTACATTATTAAAACTATGAAATATAGTAATAATGCTTTGCCTACTGTTTGAATTATGTTACTAAATATGCTATTGTTTTCTGGGTAAAATCTAGGTTACATTAATAGAAAACAAGGAATTATCATTAATTCGTGCTAAGAAGAGAAGTAATGAACTGGGTTTAAACAACATTTGGTTCATTCAAGCAAATATGGAATATTTTACTGGGATGTTTAATATTGGAGTAAGTAATCAAGCAATTTTAATTTCTTTAATTACCTAAATAGAAAAATTACATGCCTTAGAGTAAATAAAAAAATAATTTTGTGTTCTTTGCTAAACAAAGAAATTTATAATTTTGCATACTTATATTAGCTATGAAGTATAGCATATTAATGAATATTATTTTATTCATAACACTTTGTCATAACATGATAGAGATAACATTGCCTCCTCTATCAGACCAGAACTTTATTTTCTTCACTACAGAATCCCCAGTAGCAAGTGCTTAAAATTGGTTAATAATTGAATAATTGATTCTGATAAACATGACTTGCCTTGATTTATTCTGCATTTTTAGAAGACAATGGAGGAAAAGAAAAAAGAAGAAAAGAAAAATAACTTGTTAGTAACCTCTGAATGCAAGCATTGCCCTGTGATGTTTTTTAGCTAAGATTTTATATTTACATGTATTTTGAGGTTCCAAAAGAGAAAGTATATTGATCATGTTTCTAAACCCTTCCATCAAATTATTATTTAATATTATGAAAAATCCCTAAGATATGTAATTCTGCTTGGTTATTAAACCCTAAAGTTTTAATTTTTTCTTGTAGAATATGAGTTTTGTAATGCATTATTGTTGCTGCTATTTCTTGTATTTGCTTTAAATAATTTTTTTCTGATTCAATAGGAATACAGATTTTGATAATAATACAGAAAAACACATAATAATATAAAGAAGAAATAACCTATATGCTTACTATCAAGTGATAAATACTATCAAAAATCTTTACTTTTTATATATTTATGCACACATATACATGCAAATTTACACATATGTGGACATTGTGAAAACTATACTACATAGATCCTGCATTGACTGAACACTGTCATAAATCTTTGACCTACTTTTTAATCGTTCTTTTTGTTGTTGTTGTTATAATGCAGTTATTACTACAATGGGTATTTTATGCATCTTTTAAGAATTTTGATACATTTGCCAAACCACTTTCCAATAAGGTTCTTACTGACATCCTTTCTAATTATATATGTTCACATAAACACAGGGTTGTCTAGGTGGAGCTTTTATCAGCTTAAGTAGTTCAGACCTTTTATAGCATTTCTGATTTTTATCCAGTGAAGTTTACTTAAATATTGACTATTGAAAATTTGGGGGTTTATTGTAAGTTTTTTCAACCTAAAAAATATAGGATTTGTTTCCTTTGTAGACATGATCTACAGTTTACTTCTCTTTACATAAGTCTGGCTGTTAACAAAGAAATTCAGGAAAATGTAGACATGTGATCTAGAAAATTCAAATTAAAAATATACCTCTGCAGGTTTAATTTATATAAATGTTGAGGTAAAGTTTAGAGCTTCTCCCATGAAACAAGTCATTAAATCAATCCAGATATTACCAGTACAGCAGACAGAAAGGTAGTGAGTAAATGTATACTGCTACCCTTTACTTACATCACAAAGCATGGAATTTTCACCCTGTGTCTGTTCCATCTGACTCTTCGCCCTTTGGGACTTATAGATGCTAAATCACTCTAGCATATTCTTGTAACTTCCAAGTGTATAATTTACTAATGCCAACTAAAAATATATATGTCTTTTTGGAAGTGAAATTTTTCTTTATATTTTATAATACGTCTATAATGACTTTTTTCCTTTCATAATTGCTCTTGTCAAGGTGTATAGAAAATGGATTAAAATTACTTAGAAGGTTAAATTAAAATTAGATTCATTCTGAAGAAAATAATTTGCCTAGGAGAGTAACTGAGGTATTATCACTAGGTAAATCAGACTAAATGCATCAGGGTTCTAACTCCTGTGTTATATGCATTCCAGTAAAAATAGTGTGACTGTTCAGTAAAAAAACACACAAAAAAATTTAAAAATAGTGTGACTAGAAAGGAAATCAGAATAACTAGTTATTGGAAATACATTAAAATAGCATAAATTCATGGTTTTGTGATATTTCAGTAAGGGCTTAGTTAGCATTCATCTTTGCTTAGTAAATACTTTATTTTTTCCATTTACTATTTTTCTTTAGATATAAAAATAGTATAAACAAGAATTTAAAGAAAGAATTTTAAAAGACTTAGAAACAACTACATCTTTAAATTATTAAATTTTATAATATATGTATCAATACCCATACCCATGATCTCAAACAATATTACAAATATTTATTCACATATGGTATTACATAAAGGGCTATGACTATAGAAAAATGCTCACTTTGCATTAAAAACAAAAACTGTATCAAGGCTAAACAGGCTGCCCACCAACATGTGTTAATTGGAAAATTTCAGAAATAACAGTCATTTCAACCAGTTGATAAGGTACTGATTTTTAATAGTACTGGTTAATCTTTTCTATACATCAACATATATATGAAAATCTCAAAAGTTTTATTTTCTAGTTATTTGTATTTTCTTTTTGCTGTTTTGCCCACATCATAATTTTTAATTATTGTTTATGACTCATAAGTGCTGACTGCTTAATTATAAGCTCATTTATATTTATGAGGTAAGTCTGTTAGTGTACAATTAAAAGAAGCATGTGCAATTGAAGACTGTAATTCAGTAACACTTTTGATGAGTAATTATATAATCCTTGTTTTAAAAGATAAGGACCTCAAGAAATTATATATTCTGCGCCACACTATTTAAAAACCACTAAAGCAAAATAAGGAACTTCTAAGATGAAAATAGTAGACAGAGGTATTTCAACCCCATTTCTCCCCAAAAAAGATCAGATCCCCAAAAAACAAGAATCAGAAAACTCAAGCTCTATCTATAATGAAGCTATATTCAACATTCTGTAACATGAATCACAATATGAAATGTGAAGGTGAAAAGCAGACTGAAGAAAAATGATAAGTTATTGAGTAGAGGAGAAGGAAGATAAAATTTAAATGCATGACAGGTGGAATGGCAAGAAGGCTCTCAGGTTGCAAGCCACTTTGCTCCCACAGAATCCCAAAAAAGTTTAGGAATTCAGGACATCAGAAACCTCAGAGGAAATGAATAGGGAGGGACTGAAATCACATTTAATTTAAAATATTACTTAGATACAAGATTCGTGCTGTCATCTTGTAGAAACAAGAAACTACCGCTGGACCGACTCAAGATAGAGCTGTGAGAACAACCCAGGATTGAAGCTCTCGGTGAAAGTGCGGAGGGTGAGTCAGGGCCACATTTCGAGACAAATCTTTGTTGCCCACAGAACGGGGAAATTCCCAGGTATAAAAGAGACACAGGACGCCAGCACAGCGGTTTTGGCTGCTGCAGCTGGCAGCTGGTGCAGTCGGCAGCCGGCGCTGCAGTGCAGCGGCGCTCCGCACAAAGCGCACTGGTCCAGATGCCCTGTTGAACTGGCAATCTGAGACTTGAGAGGGCAGATTGGTATATCCATCTGATTGAATGGGACTTGGACAGTGAGCCAGGCCAGGAGATTCCAGGGAAACGGCGATTGGGCCAGGGCAGTGGGACAAATAAAACGGCAATTCCAAACGCTCCAGGTGGAGAGTTTCACTGCAGGCATGGCTGAACCTAGGACATTGCAGCTCGGTGGAGGAGGGGCATTCGCCATTACCCAGGCAACCCGCCCCTACTGAGGTACACTCCCATTGTTGATGCAGCCGGCTGTTGCCGAGGCAACCCGCCACAACAGAGAGACTCCGCTGCAGGGTGTAGCCTGTGGCAGCAGGGCGGAGCCTGCAGCAACAGGGCAGACCTGACACAAGCAGGGTGGAGCCTCAGCAGGCAAATAGTGACTAGACTGCCTCCTAGCTGGGCAGGACAGCACAATGGACACTCATGAAGAAAACCCCAAACCCCCGAGACAGAGCATCTAAAAAGAAAGGTTTTTTTAATGAGTTCTGCTGCAGCAGAATTAAATGTAGCAGCCTAACAGCCCTGAATGAACATCAGAGCTCACAGATCAGCACTTGACTCCTATAAAGTACAGACTGTCTCCTCAAGCAGCTCCCTGACCCCTCTATATCCAGAAGACTGACATTTGGCAGGCATCATTCTGGGACAAAGATAGCAGAAAAAGAAACTGGTAGCATCCCTCACTGTTGCGCAGCTGCTATAGGTGCACCCCAGACAAGCAGGGCCTGGAGTGGACCTCAGCGGTCATACACTGGAGGGGCTAGACTGGTAGAAGGAAAACCAAGTAACAGAAATACTTCATCATCAACAATCTGGGTGTCCACTCAGAGACCCAATTGAAAAGTCAGCAACTACTCAGACGACAGGTGGATAAATCCACAAAGATGGGAAGAAACCAGCTCAAAAAGGAAGAAAACACCCGAAACCAGAACACCTCGAATCCTACAAAGGACCAAAACTCCTCACCAGCAAGGGAACAAAGCTGGACGGAGAATGAGTGTGACAAAATGACGTAATTAGACTTCAGAAGGTGGATAATGAGAAACTTTTGTGAGCTAAAAGAACATGTTTTAAATCAATGCAAAGAAACTAAGAACCTTGAAAAAAGATTCGAGGAAATGATAACAAGAATGGATAACTTAGGAATATGAATGAATTGAAGGAGCTGAGAAACACAATACAAGAACTTCACAAAGTATGCACAAGTTTCAACAGCTGAATTGACCAACCAGAAGAAAGAATATCAGAAGTCGAAGATCAACTCAATGAAATAAAATGAGAAACCAAGTTAAAAGAAAAAAGCACAAAAAGGAATGAACAAAGTCTCCAAGAAATGTGGGACTATGTGAAGAGACCTAACCTACGTTTGATAGGTGTACCAGAATGTGACGAAGAGAATGAATCCAAGCTGGAAAATACTCTTCAGGACATTAGCCAGGAAAATTTCCCCCACCTAGCAAGGCAGGCCAACACTCAAATGAGGAAATATAGAGAACACAACAAAGATATTCCGTAAGAAGGCACATAATCGTCAGATTCACCAGGGTTGAAATAAAGGAGAAAATACTAAGCGGAGCCAGAGAGAAAGGTCGGGTCACCCACAAAGGGAAGCCCATCA